ACAATTTTGGAGACTTATCACACAATACCGAATGTAAACGCTTCGAACAATACATTTTATTTTGGCAAAGACGATGCAGAAATTACGATTCCCGAGGAGTCGTATGAACTGCATGCCATAAATGAATTTTTGAAACGTGAGATTTTACGGAAACGTCCGCGACGCGACGCGTTCGAGAGTAACGCTGGTGACACCGCGCGCGGCGATGACGAGATTGGAGAATACCCGATAGTGCTCCGCGCAAATTACAACACGATGAGGTGTGAGATTAAATGCGCCTACAGAAAAAACTTTAACTTTTGCGTACCTCTCTATGCACTGTTGGGATTTTGCGAGAATTATAGACGCGTGATAATCAATCGCTCGTCACGAGTTGATCTTGATACGATCTCGTAACGACAACAATTGCCTGATGGGAAATTCGACGTTAGATCCCGTGGTCGACTTATTCAAGATACAATGGCGAATGCCGGGTTATTGAACGAGATAAAAAACTATCGATGCTGCGCACTTTGGAGAGCGGACGATACTTGAGCATGGCTTTTCGCTCGTGGGATCTGTACGAGTTTCCGCTGTTACAGCGTACAACCAAGCATTCGTGGGCCATCAAGACTGCTACTCAGTTCGAGAAATCGTGATACGTCATCTTTGCTCTGCAAACAGGTCGCAAAAATGTCATGGCTGAGGACACGAGCCGATTCGACGATTGCAACTTAACCAACATGAAACTCTGAACTCGGAATGTTATCCGTATAACGATATGAATCTTGATTTCGACAAAAACAGATGGTCCGTGTTGTATGAAACGTACGCGCGTTTCTGCAAGGGTTATTACGGATACGAGTATCTCGAGCCGATCGAGATCTCACCGTTACGTCTTTTCTACATAACGGTCCATTCGTAATCATCGATTATTCTCGACAAAACGAATCGGTTAAGAGCGCAACCGTGAACGTGAGATTGGAATTTGAGACTAAGGAGAACGTACCGATGAATACCATCGCGTACTGTCTCATTATACACGATCGCGTGGTTCACTACAATCCGTTGACCAATGTTGTACGCAAGATCACCTAAGAGCATCGCTGGCACATGAGAGAGAGAGACAATAAAATCTACGATACATCGAAATCGATCGCAGTCTCGAAAAATTGTTCGTCATGGTCGTGCCAACGTTCGTAGACTTACAAGGTTTTCTCGTTGGAGGACAGTTTGTTGTAAAGGAGTTTGCCACTCTCAGAAAACGGACCGTTCTCTCTCACTACATTTTCGCAAGCCCTATACCACGGCATTTCCTCGCAAGTGCCGACAAGTCTCGCGCACGTTGGGTGATACGTTATCACCATAGACTGCGATGGGGCGACGGAACGATTTCATACAGCAAAGCTAAGAGTTTGATTACAAAGGCTGTGCATGGAACGGAAGAAGAAGACGACGACGACGACGACGACGACGACGATGATGACAGCGATGCTGTCGTATATGTCAAGGGACACGAAAAACGACAATGGCTGTGGAATTTGCTTCTGGACGATGAGCGCGTGTACATCGAGACTCTGGGTGCTGATTACGAAGACTAGATTCTCTAAACAATCTGGACGCTGATAATACTATGCGATGCGGATATCACTATACTAATTCCGCATACAAAATGTATTCAAATTATTTAATTGGTTGTCAGATAACCATGAATAAAATAAATATGATATACGAATTATGTTTTTTATTTCTTTCCCATGCATTGATAATTCTAACGCTCGACGTACCGCTTCTTATCATATAACGCCGAGAAGTTTATCTTGCTGAGGTGACTCGCGCGCGTCGAGCAGGAATGTAGGTCAGTGTGTCGGTCATGGATATGACAAAGAAATTGAATCACGATTTAAAAAGTGAAAATTTTTTAATATTTATTTTTAATATTTATTTAATGCAAAAGAATAACTCATACAATGCACTTTTATTTATTGTATATACATTCACATTAGATTTCCATCTATTATGATCCTGCACACTTCATGACCCATTATATATCATCAATTTCTTTGTCTAAATCGGAACATCATCATCATCATAGGTCTCTCCTTGTTTATAGCAGCCGGAGTATCGGCGCTTCTCTTGACACGCCGCGTTCAGTCTCATGCAATGAGTCTTGTGGAGGCATTGAAACGTCTTCGTGGCCTCGATAATAATTTTGTGCGCGAAGAATCACTGGTGCGCGAAAAACAATTGCTTTTGCGTGAAGAACTTTGAGTGCAACGTCTTCGCAATGGCATTACCACGCGTCATTATTTGCGCAAGATTCAACGGGGCAGAGTACCGTGGTAACTTTGTGGTATATGTGGAGGAACAACGTATTTATTACATTGACAACAACCCTCTCGTTGGTGTTGCACAACTGCCGTGGGCAATACCCTTGTACGAATATTGTACGAATATATTCGTTCATTGGCCTCGACACAGGAAGAGGAGAAAGAGGGGGGAAGAGGAGGCCAATTATTTAGAAGTCCCCCCCCCCCCGCGGATTAATCCCGCGGTATGTGGATGAAGACGTGCTTGAAGATTCTGATTATGACAGTGATGATACTGACTGAAGACGATACCAACTGAGACGAAGGAGTCTTTAACCGTCAGTAGACGTTCAGACTCGATTCATCAAGTATTAAGTGCAAGTTCTACTGACTGAATATTAAGTGCGTACGAGTAATTTATAAGGTAAATATTACAAAAGAAAAAATTTAAGTGAGTTAAATAAAAATAATATTAATTGTGAAATAAAATCAAAAGATGAAACCGTCAACGAGCCAAGAAAGCGTGAAAGCAGTAGACGGAATTATCCCGGAGGAGTATCCGGAAACTTACGAGCCACTTCTGCTGGGAACATGCGTAAAAGCTATAAACTCTGCCAGTATCATCTACAGAGAAGACGCTCCTTTTCGAAGGATATGCGAAGACTGCTTTCATGCAGAAGTGCAAGACTTTAATCGTGTTCGAGTAGCAATAACAAACGCACACATTATGTAAAGTAGTGCCAGAAAATTATGAATTAAAAAGAAAATTTTATTTGTCATAAACTTTTAATGGAATATAATATAGCTTCAGATTGTCGCGAGTGTATTAAAAAGTTTATAATTAATAATGAAAAATATTATTGGTTAGATGAGATAGATATATTACAAGACGAAAAAAATTAAATTTAAGTTACTAAATAATATTTTCTAATATTTTTTACATTTTATATTTTATATATTTTAAAATTTCAGTATTTTAGAATTTATTTTCTAACATATTGTATATGTTGTATTCCATCATATTACATTCTTAAATTAATGTTTTTTTATATTTCGTTATGTTTCGTTATTTATGTTTAATAAAATATATTTCATTGACCTACGTAAAATTGCAAGTTTGTAATTTTTAACACGTGTCCGATAAAGTGATCTTACCGTTGTAAAGATATATCTTTCATACCGTCGACCTATGTGGAATATTTTCGCATGTGATATCTAATTTCGGAGTGTATCAAATGATACATAAAGTAGATAAAAAAATAAACAATATCAACCATAAAATTAAGAACAAAACTTCGATTATAGATTGTGAATTATTAGCGTACGCAATAGATAATATTGTACACTATGCATTACATGACCAATAAATGTATATTATGATAAATATTACTCGGTTTATTCTCCATTCTTCCTTTTAATTCAGCGGTTTCAGGTTGCGCTGCGATAACGAGTCGCGTGCCGACGCATCTTGTCGTGAATAATAATATCACTCATAATAATAATAAATTACTTAAGTAATATTTAAAAAATCTCCTTTAAAAAATAATTAATTTTAAATAAATAATTAATTATAAATAAAATAATTAATTAAAAAAAATTAAAATTACAAAAGATATCAAAACAAAACGAGATACCTTAGTGGAAAGAGAGAGAATTTAAGAAAAGAGGAAGGAAGAGAGAAGAAAAAATGGTAAGAGAGAGAACATGATGACAGCGGCGGCGGGCGCGGCGGCGACGGTGACGCCCCCCCCCTGACGTCATGTCCACGCGTCCAATTTTTTATATCATCTTCGTTATTTATCTTTTCGTAATTATTTATCACGGTGCTGAAGGCATCAATCGTCGATTCAATCGCACGCTGTTTACATTCAATGGCACTGGGTCGCCCAACACGCGCCGTCCCCCCCTCCCCCCCCGGAGCTCCTCGATTGCGCGCCATTCCCCTCCGCACACCCGCACCCCCCTCAATGCTTCTGAATTAGAATCGGTGTAATATACCTACTAGCATCATTGAAAAATCGTCGGTTCGCTAACTGATACGCGAATTAGGCCTGCGAACCATATCCGTATGTAAAAGCAACGTGAACAGCGTACCGTTCGCGAAAATAGACAAAATATTGCGTAATGCGTTGTGAGATCAAGATATAGAAATAAACGTCTGCACGAATGAAACGTGGTCCCACCCGCGGAAGATAGAGCCAAAATAATAGAGAAATATCATGCGTCCGCGATAGGGGAACATAAGGGCATGACCAAGACGCATGCGTGAATACGGGAAAGATACACGTGACCTCGCATGAAGGAGCAAATATGCCGTTACATTGTAAAAGTTGTCAACTAAATAAGCTAACGCGCTAAAAATCAGGCAGCCCATGATGTTGACCGATACACCAGATAAAGCGTTCGACAAGATATCGTAGAGCTATTGCCGACCACGTGCTCGGGATACTTTTATATCCTCACCATGCAAGATGAATTTGCTGACAAAACACTCGTCCGCTATCACTCTCAAGGGCGTCTCGACAATCGACGTTACCGACGCCTTCGTGAACAAATATATTGTGTACATGGCGCACCCAAAGCGTTACGGAGGGGATGCATTTTATAAATTCGTTGATGAGAAATATCGCTCGGAAATTCCAAATTAAACACTATAAGACTCCGCGTACGGCCCCCAGTCCAATGGTTCCATCGAAAGATCGCATCATGTACTTTGGGAATATCTCAAACAATTTGTTAACAAACACAAAGACTGGGACAAAATATTAAAAATGGCTAGCTTCCCGTATAACACTAGTACATGAAGGAACACGTTTTATTCCCCATGAGCTAGTTTACGGAAACCTCACGCGAGTATCCACGAGCGATCCCGCGCAGATAGACGAGAGCAATGAAAGCTAATTCCGCCGAATACTAATTTGTCTAATAAACTGAATGAAGTACAAGTGATAGCGCATCGCAATTTAAACAGCGCAAAGCTCCAAACGATACTACGTACGAGTAAATGCATGTGAATTTAACATAGGCAATCGCATGTATTTGCTTAAGGAACCTGTAAAAAATAAACTAGGTCCCCAATACACGGATCCGCATACTATTATAGAAGTATGTAATAACAACAATGTCAGATTAGAAATAAAAGTAGGTAAGTTGCGTACTGTACATACAGATAAGTTGGAGAAAAAAGTGGGGAGTCGAAGCTCCATCACGCGCTGCTCCCCTCCACAACCACAATCAGGATGAGAGACGAGAGGTAGTCGGCGCGCCAGTCAACCAACGACATCCAAGGATTCATCATGGAACTATAACGTAATGATCTTCATACTACTGCCGATGATGTGCTTCGGCCTCATGGACTACAACTGCGAGGGCAGCGAGCTCAATATCATCACATTGTCATTAGACATCAACACTTGCAACGTCGAGAACCTGGAACCTGAAAGCACGGAGGCATACATACAATTGATGCAATTTTTTTAACTTCAATGAGAGCATTATCGCCATACAGTGCAGAATAGAAATAGATTGCACGATTTACTACTGCGGCATGCGCACGTTTCTATTGTCTCCGACGGACGCAATACATGAAGGAGATCGAATGAGAAAGCCAGAGGATTCGTGACACCGGGACATTCTCCATTGAAACCGCAGATCGACTAAAAACTAACGTTATCAATCACAGAAATGTCATCATGGCCGATCAAGTACATACTGACAGCTGTTGTTCAGGGACACAATACTCGGACGGCTTTGGCACCTGGGAAAACGTGATAATGCAGGCCGCTGAAAGTCGTGCTACGATCATTCGACACATCGTACAAATGATCGACCGATAAATCTACCATCTGAAACGCGTTGCCGAATGCAACCTGGCATCTGCATTGATTACGATGGCACGGAAACCCTTTGGAAAATTCCATCGACGGATAGTTGCCATTTTAATCAGTACGATGTTTTATATGAAAGCATGGCAACTAAGCTATCCCCAAGAATCAACCAAACAGCTCCAATAGTGTACACCGTGATGACCAAGGATACAACCTTCACATTAGCAAAAACAACTGAATTCAACCTCTGCGGATACCAATTATACCAGACTGAGCACTCTAAGCTTATTATTCTCAAAACGCAGAGAGAGAAAATATTCAAGGCGAAGTCACGGATCTCCGTAAATAATTTAGACATTTTCGCCTACGTCAATTCAAAGTTCGTATATGTGGAGAAGCATGTAAAACGTCAACTTACCAGATTGTATCATGACATTATGGAGCAAAAATGCGCACTGCAGCGTCAGATTCTGCAGAACGCCCTCTCGCTATCCACTATCGCTCCAGATGAGATGGCTTATCGTATTATGAAGTCTTCTGGTTACACTGCCATAACCACAGGCGAAGTAATCCATATTATCCAGTGCGCCCCAGTGGACTGTAATTAAAACACACAGAAAGCTGTTACAACGAATTACCGGTGCAGGAACACATACTTTCTGCTATCACGTATAAGAATACTCACAAAGGCTAGCATCCACAAGGATTGCAACAAGCTGCTATCAAACATGTACAAGCTACATGACACTTAGTATCGAATAATTACGAAGCCTTCAGAGTTGCTTTCGTCTCCAGCCATCCAATTGCTCTCGACACCGAGCTGGAAATACATCAGTCTAGACGCGCTTGTCACGAGCGGAATTTATTTTACCGACGACCTCGACTGACTCCGAGATCATATAATGTTTTCAGTCAAGAAGCTCTTGATGCTCAATACGATTGCACGAGGATTTCTGGGCCAAATTGTGTCAGGAGGCAGCGTCTTGCTAATGAACCTCCTTGACGAGGAGGCACTCGATAAGATTGCGGAAAATGCGGGCAAGCGCCTCTGGAATGAATTTATCACCTTCGATTCCGCCAATGCAGAAGTCTTGGCGATATTTATAATAGCCAGATTAATAAAATTGGTTATTGATACTATAATACACGGCTACGCATTACACCGAATTAACGAATGGAACATTCACCTGTTGGGAACAGTGTAATCTTCCGTAATCAACTTGTTGCACATGGGAAAGCCGATGACTAACCCTGATTTGCCCAGCGTCGAACGTCTCATGTCAGCACTCTTCCATGGATGGACTTCCATGGATGAATCATCGACCGCATCTGCACCCGTTCTCAGCTATGAGAAGGACGAGAACAATGAGCACGTGCGTTCATTCAGTGAACTACAAAAATACTTACGCGAAGATATTGTGTGAAATAAGGTAAAGTGACAATGATTAGTGCTAGTGGGATAAGAGACATGGCAATCGCAAAATAGATTGCGCGAACAACGAACTTTCCGACGCCATGCGGAGAAATATCAGGCAGTGCACCCAACATTTCTTTTTAGGAGGGGAGGTGTTACATTCAGAAAACGAGTATCAAAAACTTTTTCGAGCTTTCCTTGAGCTCTTACGAACAGACCTAAACGCCGCCATATTAAATTTAAACAACTACGATTGGCTCTTCAGCCGCGCGTTCCTCGCCGGGCGATCATCTTAGAAATTACTTTGACTAGCTAAATTCCGTTGCGTCATTATTACTTATTATTTCACCATTTTAATCTCTTAATTATTATTATTATTATATTATTATTAAATAATCACCATTGTAAATGTTGTTGTCATACTACTATATTAATCTACTTACATAAAACTATTACATTTACCTATTACTACTATTACTACTATTACTACTATTGTACCTTATTTTTCCCGGCATTTATTATTTTCTAATTGTAATTTTATATGTTTCCTATTATTTTTAATATTTCATTTAGCTAATTACATATTAACTCTCTTATTTGTGATACATACTACCACTTAATAAACAAACAATATATCCTATTGATCGCTTAATCGCGTAATGTATTAAATAGTATATACACACACACACACACACACACACACACACACACACACACACACACACACACACACACATATATATATACTGCCTAGTATCCTTATAGCCTATGACCGAGCGTCGAAGGCCACTCCGCCTCACTCAGCGTCCCATCATATTAACAGTGCATAATCTATAACACATCAGCACCACGGGTGTCGCGTGTCCACGCCACCGCCATCTTGCGATGCTGCGCCATGAGCGTCAGCCATAGACATTTATATTACACTAGACTGCTAAGGATTTTGACCAATCAGAAATATCTATGATATTCTTTCACTTCTGATTGGTCTGTTGCCTGTGCTATTCCCTGTTTCTGTTTTCTGTACTTTTTCATTGTGTCTCAGGCTTAAGTGTTCTTTAATCTAATATTCTTCTCGTCTTGTAGATATCTTGAGTGTAGTTGTAGGTAAATAAAATTGTAAGTAATCCGATAATTAAAGTAAATAAAAATTATTAAACAATTATTTGCTTAAATAAAAATTTTAACACATCTATAATAAACAGTTTAATTCTCAGTTGGCAATCATGGTCGAGTTAATCGTCGGTTAGCTTAACCGAAGATTGATGAAAGAGGTCCTAACTCCTCGGGTGGGGTTTGTTTGACCGTTGCAATTGACCATCAGCCACTTATAGCGCTTGAACAGAGGAAAACCTCTTGGCACCGGCCATTGTGAGTGTGGTCAATCGCAACGTGATCAAACGGGACGCTCCCAATTTTTCTATTTACTGAGTTTAAAAGTTGACCCCAAAACTTATGCATTACATAAGTGTCGGTCCACAATAATATTTAAGCTTTAAGCGTAAGAAATTGACCAATTATAATCGAATATGAAAAGAATAATCGTCTATGATTGGTCAATTTCTTATGGCTTAAAAATTAAATACTTATACCCAAATAAGAAGGGAGGGTGTGCATCACAGCGGGGCCCGACCACGAACCAGTCGTGAAAACTTGTAATTATTTTGCGAAAAAATACCACCTCAGTCAGGAATCGAACCTGGATCTCCTGCTTACCGGGCAGGCATCTTATCCTTTCGACTACCGAGGCATGTGATGATATTTATCGCAAATAACGTGGTTAGAATAACACGTCAACAATACAATGATATACATATATATATATATTACAATATACATATATACATGTATTCTTTCGAATCTCCAAAGCGATGTTGGTCTCTCACTCGATGGATGCAGGTCGGACTGCAACGGCGACACCCTCCAATGCCATTGGTAAATATACAAATAATCCTCCTGGAGCACGACAGGAGAGATTGCATCAAGCAAGGAAAGATTGCATCAAGCATTGTGGACCGACACTAATGGGTATTTACGACAAATGATCAGATCTCTGATCGAAAGCAGTGGTACTTAACTAATAGACTCTCTAAATTTCCCTAGATAATCCGGATCAGTGATCTCTGTCTCAGCATTGATCGGATCAATCAACATGGACCAACAAAGCATTTTTGTTGAAAAGTAATTCTCTCTTTACTTTTTTTATGAAATATTAAATAATTTTATGAAATATTAAATAATTTTACGAAATATAAAATAAAATTTGTAATAAATTTGAATTTATATATTGTAATATTTTTTTGTACTAAACATTTCTTTTTGTGAAAATAATCTATTTCAAAACTTGAAGTTATATTGAAAAAGTGCAAAGTCGCACAAAGTTAATAAAAAAACATCTCATTAAAAAATTGTTAAATAAAAAATAGTCATTAAAATAAAAACATCAAGTTAAATGTGCAATGCATGCTTTTGCAATACCAAGTTTTTATCATTTTTTATAATTTTAATTGTTATATATGTAATCTTTTTATAGCAAATTAACTTAACACACGTTTTTATTTTATATATATTTTAAATAATCCAATAATATTTTTGTTTATCTATTTTTTTTAATTGAAAGTAATCTTGGTCTTCTCATTAGTTTTGCGCAAGCGCGAGCTCACGGATAGACAGAGCATCTCTGGCGTAAGTGGAGGGGGAAAATCGCCAGCGTGCTCCGGCCACAGTATATACAGTAGCGCATTCTCTCGATTTTAGCGTATCAAAATTGAACTGCACAGGCGCGCACTAAATAGATAACCAATCTTGTAACTAATTTTCTGTCACATTTCTTTCGGATTTTTCTAGCGTTCTCTGTTATTTAAATGCTTAACAAACTGGCAGGAACCAAACGTCTAACATATAGAAATAAAATCGTAGAGTTTCGTATTCTTTTTCATTCCACTTCCTTATTACTATCACGTCGTGAGAATCGAACGTGTTCGGGCCATAAAAAGAAAAAGGGAAAGCGATGGGCTGGCGATCGGAAAGGTTTTATGACTGATTTTTTTGTAATTTTTACTATCCTGTCCCTGTTTTCACTCGGAAAATACAGTTTTAAGAGTTGAAAACAGAATGCTTGGTTTGAAATATTCTGAAATAATATTTGTCTCGACTCTCGATGAAGCGGAACTCGTCCCGGCCATGTAATACGATACGCGAACGGGCTAATATGCGATCAATGTAATATGGTAAACGCTAAAGTCACGTGACTTAATATCGTATTCCATCTTTACGTGCTCTATCCAAAAAAAGTTTTTGGACGCTACGGTGACGTATAATGAAACTATAATATAGATGGAGGACTTATTAGACGTTGCTGTTTTTTATTTTAATTTCGGGAGGGAGGAAGATATAAATAAATGAGTTGTTGATACCACATAATAATGCCCATAGAAACGAGCAATACGAAAGATTGGATTTGAATAATTTAATGCCAGAGGAATATAAAGCAAAATTCTGATTTGAAAGAGAGCACATTAGAAGACTTGCAGCTGCTCTTAACATACCTCATCAAATAAAAACGGAAAACCGTTATATCGTTTCAGGTAAATTAATTGAACTAGAGCTATGATTTATAAACTAATCTCTAAAACGCTCATGTGAAAATATAAAAATTTCTTTGAATTTTTTGTAGGTATAGAAGGTTTATGTATATAGAGACATTTAGTATATCCTAATAGATTGGCAGATCTAGAACATGAATTTGATCTGGGTATTCCTTATCTTTCAGTAATTTCTAATACTGTAATAAGAATAATCAGCAACAAAAAGGACATTTATTAACAAATCTAAATAATCTACCATGGCTTAACAGAAATAAGCTCCAATATTATTCACAGGTGGCCTAACATAATTAAAAATATCTTAAATATTTTTGATATAATAATTGAAATGTATTATTTTTTAAAAGGCTATTTCGGCAAAAGGAATACCTGTACAAAATTGCTGAGACTTCATTGATGATACAGCACGAGTAATATGTAGACCATCTGTGAATCAACAAAAGTATTATTCTAGTCATAAACGACAACATTGTCTCAAGTATCAATCTGTATTATGTCCAGATAGTATAATAGTTAGTCTTCATGGACCCTATTCTGGTAGACGACATGATGCAAGTGTGTTTATAAACGTAGCTGATGATTAGCATGGTCATAATATGTTATATTTTCTTTACAGGCATATTCAGAGACTCGCTTTTATATCCTCAATTAGAAAGGTGTGCATCATATCCAGATGCTAATTTTATATTATACGAAGATTGTGCTTATCCTATTCTCGAACTATTGCTTAAACCATACTCGAGTAAAGTATTGACTCCTGAACAACAGATCTATAACCTAAGAATGAGCTCTTTAAGGCAAGCGGTCAAATAGGGAATAGGTTTCGGCAAAATAATAACACAATTTGCATTTCTTGATTTCAAGAAAAACCAAAAGCTCTTACTTCAAGATGTAGTTTTAATGTATAAAACAGCAACAATTCTGGCGAATTGTCACATATGTTTATACAGTAGCCAAACTGCTCAATATTTTAATATTAATCCACCTACACTACTTAGAAGAATACTTACTTTGATGTTCAAAACAAATTTCTATTTATTTGTATTTATAATAAAATATATAAATATATTTTTGGAACAAATGGAAAACTTAAATTATGTCTTCGACTTCCTTATGTAACGCAATAGTATGTATTAGTATTCCGATTCATTCAAAATAATAATAAAACAAAATAATAATAATAATTAAAAAAATAAAAACAAAATAATTAGAATTATGTTTTTGGTTTGGTGATGAGGTAATAACATTTCTATCAATTGTTTTTGCTGATTTGCTACAGCAATGCTGTGTCTTCTTTCTTCTGCTTCCAATTCTAATCTTGTTTCTGTTCTTTTCTAATTCAAATTTTTTTTTTCAAATTGCAATTTTTTTTGTTCCAATTGTAATTTCTGTTTTTCAAGTTCTATTTCTTTGCCGTGTTTTACTTCTAGAAATTGTCGAATTTCTAAGTCCGCCACGAACTTTATTTCTTATAGGATCCACTTATGAAGTTGATAAAGGCGTGGAAGATAATGCTGACGATGATCCTGACAATGGTTCCGATTCTGATAATGATACTGATTCCGATGGTACTGATTCTGATGAATAGCATTGATGTAAAGGTATTAAACTTGGTGATAAAGTATCCATTGCAGAACATGCAGAAGAAACAAAATCTTATTGTAATGTTACCGATGTTGGATACTGAAAGTGATGAAAACATTAAAGTTCATGAATCGTTTATTGAAAAGTTAAAAAATGTAAGTTCTTGAGATTCTAATTTACTTGTTGTCTCCGACGAATAAACATTTTTCGTTGCTGCATCTCTTGCTTTTATTCCTAATATCTGTAAGTTAGTTATTTTTTTTTTAAGATTCATATTCACGTTGCAAATCTTCTATTTCTTGAAGCAACTGCTCCTTTTCCATATATTCTTCTTCTATTTCCGATCTATTAATAATAATTAGAAGAACTTTGCATTTAAAATAAATTTAACCATTATCATTTTAAGTTTGGTTTGTAATTTATATATTTATACATTTATATTTATACATTTATATATTTATACATTTGGAATATTTATTTTTTCAGATTCGCACGATTTGTTTTTATCCAATTTTTAAAAAGATATTCAACGTGATCTCAGCACACAAACTAAAATTTTTTCAGTTGCTTCTCCTACACGCTCTGTAATCGTTTTCCATTTTTCTTTGTCTTCATTCTTAGGAATTTAGAGATATAACTTCTTTTAAAAATACGAGGTCATCTCCACTTATGAACCGCAGTCACTCAGATTTCGTTACCGTGATCATAACGTCGACGCAATCGTAAACTTTATTTGCTTAGAAATAACGTCGCACATTATCTGGATAGCGTTATGATGAACGATGCGCATGCGCAGTTTCATTTTTCCCCTCCACATGACTTTAACGTTCACCATCGGAAAAACGGTATTGCAAAAACTCTCTATTGATGTAATTCCCTTTACGACCCGCTCCGCGACTCGCTGCCACCCGCGTAACAAACCTATCGCGGAAAAGCGTCAACAATAAACTTCGAGGAAATTTCGAGAGATGTAAGTATCGATGTTATACCTTTTTTTAGAAAGAATTATTATACATATTATTATTATAAACAAACTTTATTACAATATAAAATAAAATTTAAGTAAAAAAAATAAACACCCATTTTTTTATATTGATTTATCACAATTAATTAATTTATGACTATATTTTGCAATTTTTGTATCTCTATTATTTAATAATATATTAT